ATTAGTATCAAGTTATGATGATGATACTAATGATCAACTTGTTTATTTACCATCAGCACCTGATATTGAAGATCCAGAAATTGAATCTACATCATCATCAACAACAAAAAATCAAATATTAACACAAAATTTTATTGAAACTGATCAAAAATATGAAATACAATTACAAACACCACCTGTTTATGATACACATCCATATTATGGTGGAACAAAACAAACATGATCAATAGGAAATATAACATTAAATAATCAAGATATAAAAAAGATGGTAGACATCGTCGTAAAGGACATCATAATGAAAGTGATCAACAAAATATTTTTTTATCAAAATCAATTGATGCAACTGTAGCTACGGTAACAAATAATTCAAAACGATTCATACCGACCAATGGTAGCTCGACAATAGTAACACAAACATCTGAAAATAAAGGACAACGAGCACTTTCAGCACGTCTCGAAGGAAAAAAACAACTACTGGTCAACATAGATCATCAACAGATAATGATATTGATTTTGTACCACATTAGAGAATTATTTTTTTGATGAAAGAATCTCTTATGAATGAATACTTTTTTTTGTATAGATTATTTTTTCCTCTCTTGGATGTAAAGAAATGGTTTTTTTTTCGTAAGTAAAAGATTATCAATGATGTAAGAAAAAAAAAATTTGTTCGAATTATAAAATAGAATATTCAAATGTATTTACGTGGGTCGTTCAAAAAGTATCCGGACTGGTTTTATTATAAAACAATAAGAAGCACTGGTGCATTAGTATTCTTACGTATGTGTAGTTCATACAGTCCTCTATGTATAGACATCATAAGGCCTGCTGAATGAAACATATATATGAGAATATAGAAACATATTTTAGACCACTCTCTAGACACTGACAGAAAATCATAAAAATTGAACATCGTCCAATAATAAAATTTCCTGTTCTATGAAACCATTCGTCATCTAATATGTACCAACAGTCGGTGGCAGTGTATGTTGATCAATTCTCCATTGGGCACTACAGCTTTTGAATGAGATCGTCTTTTTGAAGATGAATTATCATAAAATCGATAACAATCCGGATGTGAATATCATAAATATCAAAATTTTTCGAAACCTGACGATTGAAGACGGTTGAATCGCAATTGGGTAGATAGCAGACACTCTTCGCATTTCAAATGTACGGTGAAAATATTTCGCGTGATCAATTACATATGACTAAAGTCAGTCCACAAGAAGGCCATACTCTCTAAAACGATATCAATGATGTGTCGACCATTTCGGGAGTAATAATTAATAGTTAGTTATCCGCGTTTAAAACGACGAGTTCATTCAAATATCTTAGTATATGATAGAGTATCATTACTGTAAACTGCCACCATATATTCATAAATTTTGAATCATAGCTGGTCTTTCGAAACTTATAACTTTGTTCAAGTTTTAAATTTTTGTCAGTGTCTAGAGAGTGGTCTAAAATATGTTTCAATCAGCAGAGCTTATGATGTCTATAGATAGAGGAGTGTATGAACTACACATACTTAAGAATACTAATGCACCAGTGCTTCTTATTGTTTTATAATAAAACCAGTCCGGATACTTTTTGAATGCCCTACGTATATAAATACCCAGTCAGACAAGCACTGAGAAAAACGGCGTTTTTACGCGTAAAAAGCGCACATTTTTACGAAAAAAAAACCGTTTATTTTTCGACAAAGAAAGGTTTTTACAACGTTGACATTCACCAGCTTCCTTCATTTTCCCAAAAAACGACTAATTTCGTAAAACGTAAAAATGTGCGCTTTTTATGCGTAAAAACGCCGTTTTTCTCAGTGCTTGTCTGACTGGGTATATTCATTGATCATGATGTATAATAAAAAAATAAATAAAATCTCCAAAACGCAAGCATAATTTATTAATTCATTTCACCAGAAAAGCTTTTGAAAGGTTTTGTTAGATCTAGATCGAAATAGATTTCTTACTTTTTTTTAAATAAAAGAAAAAAATCATTTTCTTAAGTATACTACGATATGATTGATTTTTGTTCATTAGTAGACTTAAGTATGATATGACAGAAACATGAGCTTATTCTTTTTGCATTACAAGAAAAGGTTTGAACCCATAGGCGGCGGAACGATTTCAGTCTAGGGTAGGCTCAATTTTTCAGTCAAACCAGGTCGGGATGCGAGTTGAAAAGTGATGTTCTTTATTTATTTATAATGGTAAGCGCTATATGTTTTCTTGCTAGGTTTTGATTCTGTGTAAGTGCGATAACTCTAATGTTTTATTGTTTCAAAACAAAATAGGACCTAACGAATTAAAAGAGAAATGCTGCTTAAAAAAAGCAATAAAAAGCAGTCTAAGAAGAAGTAAAAGTATTGAGAACCAAATTATTTTTTTCTGTTTTGATTCTTGGAAATAAAATCAAAACAGATGCTGTTCAAATCAAGTAAATCTAATTTTTCTTTATAAGTATGAGAAATAATAACACGATTTAATCGTTGTTGAGTCATTGCACAGAGCAAATATATTTTCATTCGATTCATTACACTCAATAGCTGGTGAACTTTGCTCCGCACTATTGTTGATCTTTTGCTTTTTATTTTGATGGAAAGATATAATTTTTCTTTGTTTAGCCGACATTGGCATAACCAAAGATTAATTTTATTCAAGTATCTAAAATTCAAAAGTTATTTTAAATAGAAGTTTAAAACAGCAATTAAACTGTCTTATATTAAGGGCTTCCCGCCAGAAAATCCATTTTTTCGAAAAATAAACAAAGTTCAGTTTTTATCATAGGAAGATGCGGCAAAGTTTCCTCTCTCAGAATATATATGACTTTTAAAAAAAAAGACCTAATTTTAACAGACTTTCGGAGGCGATTTTCATCCTAATACTCTGTTTTTCGAGAGATGAAATAATTTCATGTATAAAAGATTTCCAGAAGTATTGCACGAATTCTTATACAGATTGTAGAAGTTTCATCCCATTTATCTGCTTCTAATGAGGATATATTGAACATACACAATTTATTCGTCTTATACATGCAAATAGATTCAGGGTAAATGTGGATAATAGGACACGGAAGAAAAAAATTTGATAATATTATACAAAAAATTGAAAGAATCGGGACTGATGTTTTAATTAGAACGAATGTCATACATTCTTTTACCTATTTGAAACGAGTATAAAAACATATTTTGTAAAACGTCATTTT